AAATGGAAAAATTCGAGATAACAACTTAAATTAAAACTCCTAAAATTCACGACCGTCCTCCAACAAACGGAATATGAATTCGAATTTTATTGGATGAGATATTGTCAAAATAAAAATTACCATAAACGGCAAAAATGCTTAATCGATGGCCTAAACGACGAAATTTGTCCAAAATTTGACATACGTCAGGGCCATTGGCGCTGAGCTGTAATCATTGGTCTGTTTCCAATCGAATTAGATTAGCAATTTGTCAGAAACGGATAAACCCGAAATTATCATAAAATCATTATTTTGTTTTGCGATCATATTTCATCATAAATTCTAACTCCTTATACACTTCATCAAGTTCCCAAATCAATCTTAATTGGGTTGATAGTGCTCCGCTTCTTATTATACATTGATTATTCCATGATTGTCTCTAATATATTTTCCCATTTGAAGTTTAAAAATGAAAAACAAAAGCTACAAGTAGAATTTATGCTGTAATTTCCTAAATTACGAATAAGTTTATTAAAATTAATATAACCCTATCAGGTCAAATTGTCAATTCTTGTTTTGGAAGAACCTTAAAGACATCAGAGGTCGGCACGTATAATTTTCCAGTCTCTACAAGCGGTCCGCGGCCACATAATGTTCGCTTCTTCAAATCGTTTCGTGCACTCCACCTTTTCCACGTTAAATAATCCAAAAAAAGAAATAGAAAAAGAAAGAAAACGACAATTTCAATACTCTGTGTGTGAACTACAATTATGATATTTTCTTGGATTTTAAAGAAAGCCCACGTTGTAAGCAACCTAAATGTGTTCTATCATCTCTCTCTTTCTGGACTCTTGTCGAATAAAAAAAATAGAACACGTATTTGTTTATTAATTTATTATTGGTGTATTTACTGAAAGCGGGCAGCTACTCTTTCCCGGAATCTTGGAAGTTCATTCGATGAAATCTTGAATTTTATTTAGAGGTAATATATGTTTTTGAATTCTTTGTCTGTGTTACTTTAGTAATTCAATCTTCGTGCTAATTTTATATGGTTCTGGACTTCTTGGTCATGCCGCTTGATTTTGATTTAATTGCTGTAAGGGCAAATGATTTCTGTGTAGAAATCTTAGCTGAACAATTACTACTGAGTTCTATGATCTATCCATTTTTTTTTCCACACCGAATCTTGAATTATGTATGAGAAGATGTACGAAACATTGGTATAGTGAAGTGTCAAATACAAAAAGAAGCTTAGTTTAATTTTATAAGTAGGTGTTTGATCAAAGATTCTTAATTTATTTCAAAAAATATTAATTATTAGCAAACGAGCCAATTGATCGAAACCCAGTTTTTCAATTTTTTGATTTATCTAAGAAGAAAGTTTGTTATCGTTGTCCCAAGTGATTCAAAATTTATTTTTCTAGAGAGATGAGTTTCTGTGACCGACTGTGAGGTGTTTAACTTGGTTTGATTTATAGATGAATTTTCAAGAATTCTCATGTTTATTCGAACTGAGTTTGAGCAAGCCTTTATGTACCACAAGTTCGAGTAGCTTAGTTACTTTACACTGTATTTTGTTGAACTTGATAAAATGAATCGAGCTCAACTAAAACTGGAGAAGTTTATGAGACTAGGAGTGATCCAAGCTTTACTCATCAAACTGTCAAACACTGATCTTGAATGAGCATTAGACGGGTGAGCCCTTACTGATTCTGCGCTGCTTGAGCCTATTTACAACTCTAGTCAAGGAGGTAAAATTGATGACTGAATATTATCATCTCAGCTTGTGATTTATGTTCATCGAGTCAAGTGTTGTTCCCTTCCTAGCTAGTCTACAGCAGGGGTTTTCTAACTCGGTCTGTTGGTCTTCTCAAACCCTTTGTAACACAGGCAATCAAGAAACAGTATGTTAATTCCTAATAAAAGTGTTGGTTTGACAAAATGATTTTAATTGAACAGCCTAAGCAAATAAACAGAACAAATGTGTAACTGCATATATTAGGGATAAGCTTGATTTTTGTCATTCTTTGTAGTGTGAGGTTGATAATCACTCGTCATTTTTAACTTCTTCATATGATTACTTCTCTTAGAAGTGTACTCCTGGGAATGGAAATAATATCCTGCCATTCTGCGCCCTGCTCTCATGTGGTGAATTTTGGTGGTATAGATGACATAAATTTGCGACATGCCAAGCTTCCCATTGTAAAAGGAAAATTGCCATTCCGTGTTGTGGTTCGACCTGGTTGTGGGTCTTCAAGATATCGTCATTCCCATATTTTAAGGTTAAAGAGATTAAACAGGTGGCAACCTTCTAGAACCGTGTGTTCACTAAGCAGAGATGAAAATGTTAATTCTATCTTCTTAAGTGAAGACTATAACTCTTATGTACTCGATGGGGAAGAGGATGTGATTAGTGTGACTGGTCGTGGCAAGTCAGTACCTAAGGTCTTGATTCCTGGTTTGCCAGATGATTCCAACAGAGATTCTGTAGCTCCCATTAGCAGTTGTTATTGGGAGTGGAAGCCGAAACTAAATGTCCATTATGAAAAATCGGGGTCTGGAAATCTGGATTCCCCACCAATCCTTTTTCTTCCTGGATTTGGCGTGGGCTCGTTTCATTATGAAAAGCAGCTAAAGGATCTTGGACGTGATTATAGAGCATGGGCGCTTGATTTTCTGGGTCAGGGCATGTCCTTGCCATCTCAAGATCCAACTTTTCGGCGTAAAGATGGAAACGAATCTATATTAGATGGAGAAAATCATGTTTGGGGTTTTGGTGACAAAAGTGAAACTTGGGCTGAAGAACTTGTTTATTCTGTTGACTTGTGGAGGGACCAAGTGCGCTATTTTATAGAAGAGGTACACTAATACTTCGTGCTGATCTTGTTTGTATCCACAGCTTTTGTACTTCATTTTATTTGTTTCGTGCATATATATTGAGGCAAGTCTTGCTCTTACATTGATGTCCTTTATCAATTCTAACTAGTCTAATGGTAGATACTATTCTACTGTTTACACGGTAATTATGGTAATGATAGTTTTGATTCTCTCAGTATCTGCTGAAAAATATGAAAATAGCCAAAATCTTCATTTAGCCTCAGTCCCAAAATATTAACTTTGAAAACCCTGAGAAGTGATAATCAAGGCATGTAAAATTTTGAAAATTGAAATGATAGTGATTGTTCTCTGAACAAACTCAGAATGGATGTGTATATTAGTTTTGAAGGTGATAGAACAATACTTTTGGTGATGAATTATTTGCAAATTTTCATCCTCTGAAGAAACTCAGAATGGATGTGTATATTAGTTTTGAAGGTGATAGAACAATTCTTTTGGTGATGAATTATTTGCAAATTTTCATCCTAAAACTTCCAAGGCAACATCACTTTTTGTTTTTGAAATAGTTTTGTTCTCCTTGTTTTCCAGAGGATGATTTCCCATCCATATGAAACTGCAATGCTTATATCTGATTAAATTTGGCAAGTGACTATTTTGTGTAATGGTTTCCTCACCACTAACCCGCCATGAATTCATTAGGACTTGTTCACCAAGCAAAAGTTTGTCGTTAATCATCCTCTACACAGTGGAAAGTGGACCCTTTCTCTAGATGATGTGTCAGAATTCTGAAACATAACCAATGAATTTAAAGCAACGAAGACTTATGTTCTTAACACGGTCCTCCAACTTAATAAAGTGACATAGGAGCATAAGTTTTGAAGGGATGTTTTGTTATTGCCATCATTTTGGCATTTTTGATGTAAGTGGATACCTTTATTAGACATTCATCATTTTATGGCTGTTAGCTTCTGTCTTTTGAGTTGCCTCTGGCACAAGCTCTTGTGGTGTTATTTAGCTTAGCAGCAATATATTGTAGTGCTGATTATTGGCATCGTGTATTGTGATAATTTCCATTGTATTACTTCTGCATTGCAAGGGTTACAAATTATCATCCTAGGATATTGTTGTATAGCTGTTGAATATTCTGTCTAATGTTTCAGGTCATTAAGGAACCAGTTTATCTTGTGGGAAATTCGCTTGGAGGGTTTGTCGCACTCTATTTTGCAGCATACAACCCTCAATTGGTGAAGGGTGTAACATTGCTCAACTCCACGCCTTTCTGGGGATTTCTCCCTAATCCTGTAAGATCTCCTAGATTATCAAGACTATTTCCATGGGCCGGGACATTTCCTCTTCCTTCCAGCGTGAGACAGTTAATAGAAGTTCTGTAAGTTCTATAATCCTGATCCATTTATTAGGCCAGAGCATGAAGTCCTTCCTATAAATTTTCACTCTTGAAAAGGAGGCAGACACTAGAATATAATCATTTACCTTTATGGGTTTGATTTTAAGATATTAAGATTTAATAAGCTCTTTTCCCCCAGTTTTTGGCTTTAATGATAGTTTTGGCAGATAAAAGCTACTGATCACCTCTCAAAATTCATTATTTTTTGCCCCATGTGTTACACAATATCATTTCTTTTCATTTTTTCATTGTAGATGGCAGAAAGTCAGTGATCCAAGTAGTATTGAGGAAATTCTTAAGCAAGTTTATGCAGATCATTCAACCAAGGTTGATAATGTATTTTCTCGTATAATCGAGACTACACAACATCCAGCTGCTGCTGCATCCTTTGCCTCAATCATGTTTGCTCCTCAGGGCCAATTATCCTTCAAGGAAGCGTTATCTAGGTAGGTGCCAAAGAAGCACACATTGTAGCACATATTTAAGTAAAATTCTCAAATTTCCTTCCAAGCTAAGGAATTCCAGCTTGTTGATAAGTGTAGGTGTCAGATGAATGATATACCCATTTGTCTCATGTATGGGAAGGAAGATCCTTGGGTGACACCTATCTGGGGTGCTCAAGTAAAATCTCAACTGCAGGAAGCTCCATATTACGAGATTAGCCCAGCTGGTCACTGCCCACATGATGAAGTTCCAGAGGTAATCAACTTGATACTGATGATTTAGAATTAGAGACGTTCGTAATTTGAGTCAGTTATTTTTTGTTTACAGAAAAATGAGAACTGAGTATTTTCAGAATTGATTTCATGGTGGAGATATTGGTATTCAACGGATAACTTTCTTTCTTCTTTAAAAGTTAAAACTAAAGGAAATACTCCGAATGTTGGAAATTGAGAGGACTAATTATTTTATTGACATGGGGCTCGTTTAGGTATCACCAGTAACAGAGAGGTTACAATTGAGCAATTATCCATAATTTAACGTCTGAAGCATTTAGATAAGCTCCAAGATAACGATTAATGGGGGGTGGGGGTAGGAAATGTCCTTAGATGTGATACTGGAAAATAAAACATCACACTAGGGCAACAACATAAAGTAAGAAAAGCAAATGGAGAATCTGTTCCACTTCTTTTTTACCTATTGATAGTGGTACACATAATGATATACATATATTCTGCATTTATATACAATTATACCAAAAAAGGTTTTTATTTGACGCGTGCTAGATTTTTTGCACCTCATTGTCAATTTAATCTAAAAGCATGAAGAACAATGGTGCAACAAAAAAGAAGCCATTTTCTAAGAGTTCTTATGTATCATAATTTGATCTTCTTTTCTTATTAAGAGATGTAAGTTATAATTTTAAATGTTTCTTTGAGTATGTTCTGTTCTTTTTATTGATTTGGTAGACAATATGGCAATTTGACATTCATTTAATGACCAATTGCTTTAACAAATGCATACATTACTGGAGGTCGTACGTAAGTGTCAAGTCATTAACGCAAGGAGAAACAAGTGGAGTTCATCTAGATTTTTGTTGGGTCAATTTGTGTGAATTCATCTTGTGATTGTGTGAGAGATACACCGGTTGTATATTGTGCAGATGTAACCTAAGTATTGGATAGAATGTTGATGCATAAGCATTCTATTTTTCCTATGGAAAGGAAGAAATTATTGATGCATAAACATGCAGCATACCATGTTTCCTATGGCAAGGAAGACCATATGCAATCTACTAAGTTTTATTTTTATATAATTGAGAAGAAATCTGGAAATTCAAGTTCTTTCTACCGATAATCAAATATCTGAAGTGATGTTTGTGCTGTAATTATTTTTGAGTTGAATTCTAGAAAATGTTAGATATTTATTGAAGAAGATATGGCTTATAAGGGCTTCCAGGGAGAGAGAGCTTACCAATGATGGGATCTTTCGTGCTTGTTTTAATTCTTGATTATCCCAAAAGTGGTCCAAGTCTTCTTGAGGGTTGAGGCTGAAGAGCATTCATTCATTCACTTTGGTGGTTGGATGCCTTCAGCACAATGCTGATTAGGGAGATCAGAGATGAGTTTAAAGTGAATGGCGCTGAAGAGGAAGAAATTGGGCACTCTTATCTTAATTCATCTTATCTTTGGCTGATACATTTCTCTCTGATTAAGATTTGTCATGGTTTAACCTGCTTCATGTATGTCTATCATGTTGCTCTGGTGTTTGAGATGGTCCAGGGTTTAAGATTAAGATGGCTAACACTGATCTTGCTGCTATGAACGTAAATCGTCTTAATCTTATAATTTGTTTGGACATCACTTGGTTTTTGGATAAATTAGCTGGCTTATTCAATGTCCTGGAACAGTTAATCTTAGGGTCACCAGGTGCAGAAAATCATGAAGCTACTCAATGGTTAAAAGGGAATTGTTTTTCCTTTGAGTTGTCATATTAAATTAAGAACCGTTTCTGGCATGTCTCTGAAGCATCATGTATTACAAGTTCCAGGTTGGACTAGTTTACCATTGAGATAGTTTGAGAGAATAAGAAAATTTGTTTCTTCTTGCCCATAGTGAACCTCTAAAAATTCCAAGAGCTTAAGAAAATGATTATTAATGAACTTAGGGACTCTTTGCTAGCCTTTTCATTTTCATAATGTTCTGTTATATGCCTTTCATATTGACAGGTGGTGAATTTTCTACTGCGTGGTTGGATCAGAAACCTTGAGTCAAACAATTCCATTGCATTGCCTCTGCTTGATAACCCGGATGATGTCAATTATGATGTTTTCGCGGACTTGGAATTTAAAAGAGAGAGGTCCAGAAAATCAGTAAGGGTACAATTCCATGGCTCCAGGTTCTCTTTGTGGAGTTGGTTGAGCTCTCGTTTCAAACCTCTACTCGAAGGGGGAATAATCAACTCAATCAAATGACCTTCTTTGATACTGTTCATAAGATCGTGTAGATTCTATAATATGTTGTACATTTGTGATGATCGCGTGTAGAAATTTTTTTCCCTCTTTTTCGTTACTGAAGTAATCTGTCTCTCATTCAAGGCACCAGATAGAATTTTTTTTGTGGCCAGTTTAGATACATGTTGTATCTAACGATAGAATACGCTTGAATTTATATTTATAAATATAAGTAGATATCTTGTGTTCAGTGTTTTTTTTACTGATGCAGTTCAGCCTATTGCTTCAATTATTCAATCAATTACAAGGGTAAACAAATACATATTCCTTAATTGAGGACAACTCTGGATGATAATCAATTTAATCACTGCAAATGTTACTGAAGGGAACACTGCTTCAACTTCTTTGAAAATAAATTAAAAAACAGAGAGGAAGCAGAGAGTGCGGAGGGATTCTTTATTCTTATAGTCAAGATTCTAGCTTCTTCGCAGTAAAAGTGACACCTGGGTCACTTGTCTAATTTTGCACATTCAACTCCCAAAAGGGAGTTGATATTTTGTGCTCAAACCAGATAATATTACTGAAACGTACCCAGTGCTTCATTTTCTCAGTTCTCAAAAAAAAAAAATAAAGGGCTCAAAGATTTTTTCTGTGGCACAGAATCTAACCAAAAATTTTATAACACAAAGCTACAAACAAATGAATATTGGGATCCCTACTCTATTTTTTTTAGACATGTCTTTCTTTCGTTAAATTCTGATTCTCTTCTCCACTTGGAAAGATTTGAAGCATAAGATCCTGTCTTCTTGACTGACTTTTATCTTTCTGTATAGAATTTCAATAAGGGATTTCTGTTATTGCTCAAGAAAGTTGCTTTTCTTATGATGATTGATATTGGCTTGTTTGTTGCTTTGTAATTTATGCTATGTGCACATCGAAGCTTCTACTCTTATGGCTATCATCTCTTTGCATATATTCTTGAATTAAAATTTTGAGTATGTATCTTCTTCTTGATTAAAAATATTGGTAATTGGTTGTGGATTTAGGATATACTTCATTCGTCACATACAGATAGTCATGTTTTTTTTTTTTCGTCCGTCCCAAATTATAGTCTATTTTTTATTTGAGAGTGTAGTTAATATAT